GGCCGGATCCATCCGGGAAACCGCCGGGCGCTGCGCTGCGCAACGCAGGGACGGCCCTGGAGTCCTGCAACCCGCGGCGCTGAGTACCCAGGCCCGGCGAAGGCAGAGCGCGGCCTCGAGGCCCCGGGGAGACAGAGCACAGCGATCACGCACACTCACGCAACTGCGGGGCTCCCGGGACGGAGAGGCTTGGCGGCGGGCGACCCTAGTGTCCTTTTTCCGGAGGGGTCTTCACCTCTGCCTCTCGGTCAACCACCCTGCCACCGCCATCTTGAAACCTCGCGCCCGTCCACGATCCTTACGTCACTTCCTGTGCCTACGCTCTCCTAGCGTTGCTCGGTCCTGGAACCATAGAGAGGACTCAAAGACTCTCAGGCCAGAGTGGCTTCCGGTATCCGATTGGTTGGCTTTCGACTAAGAGCCCGCCTCAGACCGAAGAGATTGACACTTACATCGTCCAATGGGAATAATAAGAAGCCGCCGGTTAACTGACTCATTGCTTTTCATCGGGACCTGAGCCTTCAGACCTAATTTCTAGAAGCTTCTATTAGCAGCGTGGTACATGTATGTTCAGACTATGCCGTTAGGTGTTTTTACCCCTAGGGATTTGTTAGAATTCGGAGAGGCCGAAAGGATGAAGTAGAATCCGACCTCAACAGATGTAGTTAGCTTTATTAGCTACGAGGGGCAGCAGTAACCTTCCCTGGGGGAAAGGAGGTTGGATATAGGGTTCGGGGAGGTCTGGGTTTTATAGGTGGACCCAGAGAGACCCAGAAAGGGGGTCGTGCCTTCCTGGAACCCCAGAATGTGGGGCCTTCTTGGTGATGTTGAGCTGTGCTCTTCCCTGGGCTCAGGGAAGGAGAGATGGGGAGTTCTGATAGGGCTCAGTGGTTAAGAACCCAGGCTGCTCTTGCAGATGACCTGGGTTCAATTCCCAGCACCCACATGGTAGGTGACAACAGCCCTAACCCCAGTTCCAGGGGATCTAATGCCCTCTTTTGACTTCGGCGGGCGGGCATTGCACGACTTAGGTGCACTTACATGTATGCAGGCAGTACACTGGTGCAAGTAAAATTATTTTTTAAAAACCCAGGTGTGTTTTGCTGGGGGACCATGGGTTCTGAAATAGATGTAGCTTCCACCTGGAGTGGGGGGCACGGTGGGCAGATGGTCAGGTCCTTCAGCCGTATTAGGCTGATTTTCCTTCAAGATTACTTGTTGGATGTAAGCAGATTGGTCCTCCTCTGGGAGTGCCTGTTCCCAGTCCCTTTGCTGGTGTTTCTGGAAATTAGTAGTGGCTCATAAACACACACATTTGTAGAACACAAAAAATATTAATATTTTTTTTCTTTTTCTTTTTTTTTTTTTGAGAGGAAAAGGTGTACAAGTGCGGTTGATTTTAAATTCCAAGGGAACAGGCCCCCTTCCGCGCTGGTGTTTCCCTCAGCCAAGCCCTTTATGACGCCATTGTTAGACGGAATTGTCTGTAGTTTTTGTTATTTCCTTACCTTCTACCTCCCTTTCCTTAAGACTCATCTTTTCCCCTTAAGGGTAAGTGTTTTAAAGGATCTCTTGAAGCTCATGCTTGGTCAGTTCTCAATCAGAACATCTTGTATAGAAAAACTAAGTTGTAAGGAAATCTTTGCTACCAATACTTAATTCAAAAGTATTGATGGAGATGCATATTAACCTGTAGAATGTTTGTGTGCCCCCTGAACAGTGTAACATCAGTCCCATACCCTTTGTTGTAGTAAAAGAAAAAAAATTTTTTTGAGATAAGGCCTCCAGCACCTAGGCTGGCCTCCTTCCTATTCATTAAGTAGCCCAGACTGGCTTCCTATCCACTGAATAGCCCAGGCTAGCTAGTTCCCCATCCTTGTGCCTCAGTCTCTTGCTTGATGGGATTATAAGTGAGAGCCAAGAAGCCCGGATCTCAGATTGAACTTGAATGTTAGAACAATATCAAGATCTAGTAGCTCAAAACTTAACAAACCAGGCAATAAAGCAAATAAGATCAATTTTGAGGTGATAGAAATTGTGGTATTTTGCAACCAATTTGTAAAAGCGATGATAGAAAAGGAGACATTAGGAAAGTCATCTAGTTAAATTTTTTTCATCTAATTTTCATACTAATAATTCTGAAACATTGAGCATTTTATCTCTAGGGTTTTCAGAGTTTTTTGGTTCTTGTATTAAAAATCAACTATAATAAGGACATTATCAATAATTGCATTACAATAACCGTTTTCAAAGTAGACCCTAAAAGAGTCTCAGTGGGGATCATTAGAAAGATTAGATTTTCTAAAGCTAGAAGAAAGATTTAGAAAATGCATCTACAGAAATTGTGTTGAATCAGTAGGCCTCTACAGCCTCTGGACATTTCTGAAATCAGGATTAGAGAAATGGGCCTCCTAATGCTTTATTTAGTAGAGATAGATGCCTCTTTCAAGTATTGAAATTAAAATGATCCTTTCCCCCCAGAAAACCTGTAATTACTTTCCACTAAATAACAAATTCCTAAAGAGTAGCAAGTCCTCTTCTGCACCTTAATATATTTTATGCAAGGTGTAGTTGGGGTTTGGTTCTTGTTTGTTTCAAAAAATGTTACACTGTTCACCACTGAACTGATTGAATAGGGTCAGTATTCATTGCATTATGGAATCAGATGTTTTATTTTATCCTTTGTCCAATCCATCCAGACACATGTAGCAGTTAGTAGAAGTTCCAGGTACACTGCTTCCTTTCATTTTTGAAGCAAACTGTTACTTTTTTTTGAGCCTTTTCCTGTTACAGACTTGGATTTAATCTAATGTTAAAACTAGGGAAGTACTTCTGTTTCATTAGAATGTTACAGGTGTGTCCAGCGAGACTTACTGAATGCCACTCATCAGACCTAAGTGATGTTTGAAGTTGGTGATAGAAAGCAAAGTCTCTACATTTGGTGGGAATGTTAAGGATTTGGACTGGAAATTAGAGAAGAAAAAACAAAAAACATATACCTGCAGCTCTATGATAGCATTTAACCAGTGAGGTTCTGGTAGAACAGGATAAGAAACCTTCCTGGGATAGTCCTTTATCTCTCCAGGGTCTAGTACCAAGTGACTCAGGTACTCACTGTTGCTATTGAACCCAGTCATCCAAGTTTATCATTTGTAAATCTCCTTTCCAATTGTTTGGAATTGTTTGTCCATGTTGAAGCATATGGAACATGCACTTAGTGGGAGAAACACCATTATTGACAGGGAGGCACAGACTATTCCACTGGCAAATAAAACAACTGCTCATCTCATCTGGCGTTTCACTGTGTTGGTAACCTCGGTGATGGCATGATGGTACTTTTCTGAGGCTGACTTGAACTCCATCAGATGTGTCTCATAACTTTTGATGGCTGCTTGAAGCTGCGTTTTCTCCACTGCCCCCAATATGGCACGGATGATCATATCTAGGCCAAGACCAAGAACAGCAACTCCGATACTCCCAAGGAGAGAGGCTCCGATTTGAGCTAACACGGTGACCAACTTGTTAATTATGCCAGTTGTGATATTGGAGCCCACGAGTTTAACAGCCACCGCACTGGCTGCAGATGTGGCTTCTCCCAGGATGACGGCAATGACCTTCTGCACTATTGCAATTTTCTCTGTTTCTCTTTCCTTAATGTCCTGAAGCTTTCTGTAGAGGGTTGGCTCTAGTTTATCTTTCAAGGCATCATCAACCTCTTGGAGTTCCTTCTGGATTTTCTTTATGGCTTGGATGATGATGTCACAATTTTCTTTGATGGTTCCATCTCGTTTCATTTCAATGGAGGCCAGGCTGCACCCCAGGTGGATGTTTAGAACCCCTGTCAGCCTGTTGGTGGCCTGGAAACTGTCAGATAGGCAGTCAAGGAGCTGCTGGTGAAGGCGGTTTACTTCCTGCCTCCTCTTTGGGTTTTCCGGGTACAGGAAGTCACTCTGAGCCATATTGCAATTATGAGCTCTGAAAAATAAAATACTAAAGGGTAACTGCATGAATGAGGTAATCTTCAAAGTCTCTGTAAACTAAAGGATTCCTCAGAAAACTTGGCAGGTTTTATTTTTTAATCTCAATCCTCCCCCTCCCCTTGAGAGACAGGGTCTCATGTAGCCTAGGCACTGCATAAACCAGGCATGGTGGTGCACACCAGCAGTCACAGCCCTTGGAAGATGGAGGCTGGAGAATCAGAAGTTCGAGCCCAGGTGAGGTACTCTACCCACTCCCTGAACTACATATGTCCTGAAGTGGTTAGCTCTTGATTACCAGTACTTAATTTTCCCAATCCATAGTTACCACATACAGTGTATCTACCAGATTCATATCTCAGGTATCTGGAGTTAAATCAGTAATATGAAGAGCTCTGATTTTACAGAGATGCTGATATTTAGTGCTTGTACATTTTAGAATTTTGGACATATGCTTTTATTTTACTTTGGAAAACACCTGGGGGTGATTGCTGGGTAGATAATATACACTGACATTTGTAAGAAATGACTCCTTATTTTGCAGTGAGATGAGAATGTGGCAGCTTTGGGAAGTAATGAGCTTGTAGAGAATATTATGATAATAAGTGTCCATATATGGCAGCATCAATTGGTAGTGTATTTGGTGTCAGTTAACCCCAGTACACTGATAGATAAATAAATAAATAAATAAATAAATAAAATATATATACACATACATACATTTGTATATTGTCTTTTTGAGACAGCATCTCCTTGTAGCCCCAGCTGGCCTGGAATTTGACTTGTAGACTGGGCTGGCCTCAAACACAGAGATCCATCTGCCTCTGCCTCCCCAGTGCTGGGATTAAAGGCGTGTACCACACCTGGCTTAATAAATTGTGTTTTACATACATGCAGGCAATACACTCATACACATAAAATAAAAATGAATAATTTTTCTTTTGGTCTTTTGAGACAGGGTCGCCCTGTAGCTCCAGCTGTCCTGGAACTCACTATGTAGACCAGGCTGGCCTTGAACTCACAGAGAACTGCCTGCCTCTGCCTCCTGAGTGCTGGGATTAAAGGCGTGTGCTACCACGCCCAGCTCAATAAGTACTTTTAAAATATGTGTTCTACTAGCTTCTGTGGTTACTTCTTCCACTGATATATGATTTTAAATTGTGTTATTTAATTTCCCTAAGAAATTTCTCAGATGTACCAATTTTTCTTTTTAATTTCCAGTTTTCATTTTTATTTTAATTTGTTTTTAAATTTTATTTTATCAAACTTTGTATGCTTTGAATCCTTTAAAATTGTCAAGTGTTATGATGCAGAATAATCTTCAGTACTGAGAAATGTTCTATGTGGATTTAAAAGAGCACACACCCTCCTGTTGCTGGTGAAGTGTTCTATAAATGTTGGTTGGGTCAAAGTGGTTGGTTGCATTGTTCAACGTATTGTTTGTATATATTCTGTGAAGATGCTTAAGCATATTTGAGCATCTATGTATGAGTCTAATTGACCTATCACATACAGTATTGTAATTTCAATTATATAAATGGGGCGTTTGTTTATTTTTTTATCATCTAAAAGCCCATGCATTTAAAAAATGTTATTACATGCAGACATTTGTTACTGCAGCTCCTTGATGCACTGATCTTTTATTATCACATAATGTTCTTCTTAGTGCTTATACATTTGATAAACTAGAATATTTGATTCAGGGCTGGCCAGTTGGTTCAGTGGGCAAGGCACTTGCTGCCAAGCCTCATGACCTGAGTTCAATCCTTGGAACCAAGCCTAATGACCTGAGTTCAATCCTTGGTGGAATGAGAGGACCAACTCTTACAAGTTGTCCTCTGACTCCAGATTTAGGCTACATCTTTCATGCACCCACCCACACACCACCATACCCGTACCCACCTACTTACCCCACCCTACAAAATAATATAATTTAAAAATTTATAAATAACATGATTTTATATAGGCACATTGTTTCAGAACATAAGGGATATCCCAAAACAACACCCATGTAAAATTAGAATCTTTAAAAAATGTCTCATGGTAAGAGTACATATTCAAGACTCTGGGTTGAAATGTCATTTGAGGAGAAGATAAACACCACACAGACAGTGCAATTATGATTATTTCTGGGACTCTATTTACAAAGCTTGCAAGTTAAATGATTTTAAATAGCCTATATTGTACATTGGCCATTGCTTTAGTTTTGTTTGAGACAGAGTCTTATTTAGTAACCAAGACTCACATGAAGCTCACTATTGTAGCCCAGGCCAGGCTCAAACTCGCAGTGGTCCCTCTGCCTCCGCCTCCTGAGTGCTGGAATTATCCACCACACCCTTCTGTGTACACAACCCTTAGTAAGACAAAGTAGAGTTAGTGTCAGAAAGAAGATAATGCCTTCTTACAACAGTATTAAAGAACACGCAGTGAAAGTACACTATAGAATAAACACAGTTTGGGTATCCAGAGATGGCTCAGTGGCTAAGAAGAGCACTGACTGCTCTTGCAGAGAACCTGGGTTCGATTCCCAACACCCACATAGCGGCTAACAACCATCCATAACTCCAGTTCCAGGGGATCAAATGCCTTCTTCTGATCTCCTTGGGCATTGCATGACATGGGTGCACTTACACACATATAGGCAATATACTCATACACGTAAAAACTAAAATATTTATTTATTTTGGTCTTTTTGAGACAGGGTGTCCCTGTAGCCCCAGCTGGCCTGGAACTCACTATGTAGACCAGGCTGACACAGAGATCCACTTGCCTCTGCCTACAGAGTGCTGGGACTAAAGGTGTGTGCCACCATATCTGGCATAAAATATTTTTTAAAAGAGAATAAATACAATCAATTTGACATGGTACTTGCTGTAGTTGTACTTCTGGCTCATAGTACCTTTAAAAAAAACAGCTGTGCTTTTCTGAGTTTATTCTGGTGAAACATTGAGCACAGAAAGAACAGCCTGCTACTTTATACACATTCTTTGAATAGGTTTTTCATGTACCTGGCACTTACAGAGTTTCTGTTAAGCTCTATAACGCTTAGTTTTGTCAACTAAAATTAATTGGGAAGGGAATCTCAATGAAGGATTGTCTAGATTAGGTTGGCCTGTTGGCATGTCTGTGGGGGATTATCTTGAGTATGGTAATTAAGGTTGGAAGACTGTCTCACTGTAAGTGGCATTGATGGATCCAAAGCCCCCAGAATAATGGATTCAAACTAAAATCCCCCAGGCCTGAAAAAAACTGTACAAAAAAATAAAAATAAAAAAATAATTCTGAATGCTAAGAACAAGCTGAGCTGACCTTTTTCATGCTCTTTGCCCAAAGCTGGAAATCATCCCAGAAATCCCCCCCTACCTCTGCTTGGCACATAGCCACCGCTTGTGACGCTACTGCCGCTTTCTCTCTCCCACTTCTACCACTTGTAGTTTGTGCCCTTTGCCTTTAAAAGAAGCCTGTGAACTGGGCTCTGGGCTTCTGTCCTCCAAGGAGGCAGGAGTCCATTTTGCGCAAAATGCCAATAAATCCTCTTGCTTATTGCATCTCCTGGTCTGAGGACTGAGTTATTGGGGAACAGCCTCCTGTGGACGTTGGGTACCCCAGACTCGGGTTCCAACACAGTAAATGAAAACAAGTCTCAGACAAGACTCAGCTTAACTCCCTTGACAACGTAAAAAAGACCTCATTTGCAAAGCAGATTCGCTGTCTTCCGGCATCTCGTGACTAAAGTGTCTCTGAAGCCGCTCTTTCCAAACTTTCCATCACTTTATTTCCTATCTTTCATTTGTATGCATGGAGGGGTAAGTTCAGGAGTCCCCAACTGCTGTCCTTCCGCGCCTCCTGTGCTAACAGCACCAAAACTGAGGCCAGGGGTTTCCTGAGACCTGCCCACGTTAAGGTCCCATCCCGCGGAGCCACCTCGGCGGCCGTTGGGTCCCTCACCAGAGCCGGGAGCCCGGAAACCCCGCGGCCCTGGGAAGCCGCCGCACCTGGTCCGCCCGAGCAGAGTCGCGCAGGGCGGAGGCGGCGGGGCCGAGGGACGTGACTCCCGGGAGGCCCAGGGAGGGCAGCGGCGGACGGCCTGCAGCGGGCCGAGCCATGCGGCCTGGAGGTCAGCGGCACCACGGCCGCCGGGACCGCGTCCGCTCCACTGCACGCCG